CCCCGAATACAACACAGGCCTGTGAGAACAGGCCAAGGGGCTGGTCTCACAGGCCAACCCGAGGTCCGCTACAGGGAGAGAAAAGGGCAAGACTTGGGCGGGTTAAAGCTTGCGGGTAGATTTGGACTTCGGGAATGTTTTAGGTCGGTTAGTCGAGGGGGAGGAAGGTGCGCGACTAGGGATTGCGTATGACCTCTCCTCCCCTGATCACCTGCTCCTGCTCTCTCTCTCTCTCTCTCTCTCTCTCTCTCTCTCTCTCTCTCTCTCTCTCTGGCGCGTGGGAAGGGGGGTTTGTTATCTACGGGTGTCTGTCATCGCCATCACACTACCGGCATGGAGGACAGCTTCGGGAGAACTTGCGGCTCACGATATGATAACACGGATTGGCAGTTGATGAACTCGCACACGCTCATCGGCGGAGCTCCGGTGTTCTGTATGACCTCCCTCTGACTCGATGTCGGAGAATGGACCGAGTTTAGGCACCCGCGAATGTGGGAGACTGCGTCTATAGTCCGACTTGAAAACCCCGGCTTTCGTTTTCGTTCTACAGTGCTGCTCACTTGACACCATTCTTTGGACTTCCTCTGTTTACTAACTTCTCCTTCCCTTGATCCTGCTCTCTCTCTCTCTCTCTCTCTCTCTCTCTCTCTCTCTCTCTCTCTCTCTCTCTCTCTCTCTGTGTCTGTCTGTCTCTGGTGTGGACACACACGACGGGCAGGGGGGCGGGGGGGTGTTATCTACGGGTGTCTGTCATCGCCATCACACTGCCGGCATGGAGGACAGCTTCGGGAGAACTTGCGGCTCACGATATGATAACACGGAATGGCTGTAGATGAAGTCGCACACGCTCATGGGCACCAACAGCTCTGAGCTCTGGTGTTCTGTGTGACCTCCCCCTGGCTCGACGTCGGAGGTCGGACCGAGTTTCGGCATCTGTGGAATGTGGGAGACTGCATTCTACTGTCCCACTCGAAACCTTGGCCTTCGTTTTCGCCTTTTTTTCATTTTATATCACAGTTATTACTCATCTAATTCCATTGGACTCCCGACTTGGTGAGCGCCCAAGATGTTGAGAGCGCATTCACGCCCGGCTTTTTCAACTTCACATGGACGTAATCGAGGTCCGGTGCATTCAGGAATCAGAGTGCCAGTGTACCCCGAGTTTTCGAAAAAAAGTTTCCCAGAAAAAAAAAGGAAAAGTCCCCCGTACGGGAAAAACGGTGCCGCATGCCCCAAAATCACTTTGGGCGTCATTTCTGCACCCTGCAAAACACTTTCCCGCCAATTTAGACTCTGCAAAAATGACAACGAAGGTGATTTTGGGACCCGCGGCACTTTTTTCCCGTTTGGAAGCATTGATTTAAGACTGCCCCCTTGGAACCATGCGTAATTCTCCAATGGCAAGCGGCCTCTCCACAGGAGAGGCGCCCATGGTCAGGAGGGTCTCATTTGGACAGGAGGGGTATGCAGGGTGCCAGGGTGGCGGTGGAGACGGCGCAAGTCACATTTCAATAAAACCTAATCATGATATTCCCTAAGATTTCTGAAGAAAACCAGTATGGGCCTCGCTCCACTACTCTCCAGATGCCCAAAGGACAAAAAATATGGCGGTGCATGCATCTTTCCATGTTCTAGCTGAAGATTCGTTCTCATTTTGTACGTTTGGAGAGTCGTGCAATGAGGCCCTATAACTGATAGAAGTGCGGACAGCTCGTCATTCTCAACAATGCTTCCTGGCCAGGGCAAACCACCGAACTGTTGAAATACAGACCAGAGTTCGAATCCACATGATGGTTCTAGATGAATAAAACCAGATATATCTGAATTGCCTGAATTGCCTCGGGCCGGTCAGCTCAATGATGATATCTCAAGGCCGTCGCCCTTTTTTTTTCCCTTTTTTCAATTCAAAATTCTTATATCAATACAACCGCCATGTCAAGAACTGTCAGACAGTTCCAGAAGAGGTACCCTGTTATAACACAGACAATGCAATTCAGCAGAACCAGTTATTCATGATATTTTTCTGAAAATATGTATTCCTGAGAATACTGAAGCGAAAACGTGAAAAAAGCTGATAGAGCTCATCCTTCTCCACAATGCCTGGTTGGGACAAGTTTCGAAATTCTCGTTGAATTTTTCGGAAAAAAAAAAAAAAAAAAAAAAAAAAAAAAAAAAAAAAAACAGAAAAAGAACTAATTCAAGAATACGAAAACCGGAAAAGGGAAAAAAAAAAGACTTTTTCTTTTTTTTTTTTTCATACTAGAATGATAGAATCCCTACCCCTCTGTAGTACGACACCTGTACTTCCTTACTAGCTGCTCAAATGGCCACATCTCTGATCATGGTGAAACCCACCCTCAGCTGTAGTCTGATGAAGAAACATAGATGTCAATCTCATTAATTCTACAAGTCCGGTGTCCATGATTGTCCTCACTTCAAAAACTCCAGGACCTCCCCAGCAGTCACAGCCTGCAACATGGAAGGCCCTCCCGACAACTGTCTGCAATTATAACCCGTTGATCTTGACAATGTCCTGTTATTCATATTGAAAAAAGAAGAAGAAGAAGAAGAAATCCTTCTCAACCACAAACTCGGCACAAGCCGCACAACGTTGATCAGCAGCTGAACTTCAACAGGAGGCTACTAATAAGTTTCACTAACAGTTATCGTTAGTAACCGACCAGCTCGTCCACCAAAGAACATCAATCATGATGCTATCGACGAGCAAAAAGCATGATCCTGCCTGATCCAAGCTGATACCATCCTGACTGACCAGAACAATTTAGATCTGCACAACCAAAAAGGGAACCTGCAAAAGGATGCCCTGTCTTAGGAGCTCAGTGGACCTCCAACCTCAAGTCACCCCCGGAGGTTGCCGGTTTCGGCACTGTATAAAACCCGGAGTCAGGTTCAAGGCTTCCCATAGCTTGAGTTGCCTTCAAAGGGGACTCAGGACTTTCCATGGCTCAGGTTCATCCAGTGAGAGCATCTCAAATCCAACCTCCTCAGAATATCCATATCAGCCCTTGATGGGCCTGCTCGTCGGGAGTCCCAGCAATTAAAAGTCACTGACTTGCTGACACCATATGACTGTCCCCTACGATGCCTCTCTCTCTCTCTCTCTCTCTCTCTCTCTCTCTCTCTCTCTCTGAGGAAGAGATTGGGGGAAAACGAAAAAGAAAACAGGATGTCAAGAAGAGATTGCCGAAAAAAAAAAAAGGACAACAGCAAGCCAAACCTGCACTCTTTTTTTTTCTTTTTTTTTTAAACACAAGCTCCATCTATTGGTGGGGAGCAACACCTGCTGGAAACCGGGTCCAGCGTCCCATAGATAGAACCCTATCCTCTCAAATTGGCACAAACTGGGAACTCAGGTACCCATTGAAGGACGATGCCCTGACCTCCAATGGCAGTAGTGTCACCTGGCCTGCTATGTATCATCAGACAGACACACCCCCAACTTTCTATGCATTCCCCATGGATGCTGCGAGCTCTACCTTGCTTGCAGCTCCCTCCAGTATGGCTAGGATGCCTGTGTCGGGTGCCGTCATGTTTGGCCTCTTGCGTCTGTTGTAGCTAGAACAACACAAGCCCAGACTTGCTACTTCCCGAGCAAGACGAATATCCCAACCGCCTGCATTGCGATCCAGAACGTTCTCAAAGGCATTATCATCATCTATAGCGTCCTCAATAACTTCAAATGCATTCGAGAAACTTCCAGTGAGCACCTCCAGAAGTGTGATGCCGAAGGCAAAGACATCTGTCTTCTCATTGAAAACATGGGACTGCCAGTACTCCGGAGCAACATAGTGAGACCTATGTCTGTTGAACAGTTGAGAGACCGCCTCTCTCTTCTCCGCTCCTTGGGCAGGTTCTGAATCAAGCAGCGCGTGATCAACACAACCAATCTTTGCAACAAAGTTGCCATCTAGAAAGATGGTTGTTGGTCTGATGGCAGAGTGGACGATGGGACCACCAGTGCCCAGCGGATCGGAATGGAGGAAGCACAGTCCTCTAGCAACCTCTGCCATTACGCGGAAGCGGGCATACCATGCGCTTTGTCTTGCACATGCAATCCAATCTTTCACAGTTCCACGTGCCATATGCTCGTAAACAAGGCAACTCTCTTCGTAGCAGACTCCTAGCAGGGTCAACACATGGGGATGCCGAAGCAACTTCCACCTATCGACGACCTTTGACTTCAACGTGTCGTGAGGAATCGCTTGCCTACTCACATCTCTAATCTTCTTCACCATGACAAGAGTGCCATCATTCAGTTTTCCCCGATAGCCATCTTCATGCTGATCCCCCTGTTCAAGCTTCCACTTCACATCAAAATTTTCTGTAGCAACCTGGAGTTCCTCGCTTGAAAACTCTTGGAGCAAGGGAAATTCAATGCGCATTGTGTGCGTATCACCAACATCTTCTTGCAATCTTTGCTCAAGTTCCTGAACCTTCTGGGGCGGTCTCTCTTTCTCAGACTCCAGCTTAGAGATTCTTTCCTCCAAATGTGCCCTCGACTTCGCGTCTTTCTCTGCTTGTCTTTCTCTCTCGGACACAAGCTCAGAGATCTTATCTGCAAGACATGCCTTGGACTTTATCATTTCTTGCAGTTTGCTCTTCTCTTCTTGCAACTCGCTCTTCACCTCCTGAATCTCCTGTTTCGACTCCTCCAGCCTCCCTACCACCGTTTGTACCTCTTTCTCCAGCTCCAGGACCCTCTGGTGCTCTGCTTTCAATTCACCAAACACTTGCTCAATCTTCTTCGTTAACTCTATCAGAGGAGAAGTTACTTGAACTACACGAAACTCTCCAGTACCGCCAAGAACAAGCAAGTTAGAGTTCTCACATGGACTCATATTACCGACCGCCCCACTCCATGGACAATTGTAGGATAGGACTTGCTGGTAGTGTGAGTTACTCCAGACTTTTATTTCTCCATCACTTGCTGCAGTGAAGATATATGGCAAGCGTGGATGAAAAAAGGCTGATACTACCATTTGCTTGTGAGCTTCCCATTTCAGTATGCAGACTCCCCTCTTATAGTCCCAGACCCGGACACTTCCTTCTTCCAAGCGTGATGAGATCAGACGAGACTTTTGGAGTCCAGTGCCAAATCCCAGTCGAAATACATACCCCTTGCCACTATCCTTCAGCGTTTGGATAAGAGACCTTTTTTCCAAGTTCCATACCTTAATTTTGTTAAAATCCGCACCTGCAAGGATCTGTGGCTCCGTTGGATGGAATGCCACTGAAATTACCGTTGTGGAATATCCTTCAAATGTTACTTTCTGCCATTCACTGACAGGGTCCCAGCGCCACATAAAGATCTTTTTCTGATCTTGAAAACTCGCCAACAAACAAGGCAAGGTCGGATGGATTGCCAGTCGGTAGCCTGTCGTGGTACCAGGTTCTGTGGCTAGCACCTTTATACACCGCAAGTTTGACCCTTGTTCTTCATACACCCCAACGCCCGACTTTCGCGACACTATAATCCAGTCTTTCTGCGCAATGAATGCAACTTCATTGGCATCTGTCACGTCAGGGATTACCCAAGAGGCAACCCGTGTTCCATCCTCATAGTTCCACACTTGCACTGAATTGACACTGGTTGTGAATATGATCCATGGTTTAATAGGATGCACATCATCAAGCAAAGAAAATATGCTACCACCGTCCGAAATGTCATTCCCTTTCCTCTCAAGTTTTGGAACTAATTGCAGCTCCCCATTTCCATTACCATCCCCCATGAGGATGACAATTCGGGGACTCCAATTACTGCTTCCACTGGCAGGGACCGGGGTAATCAATCGCCAAATTCTCTTTATGCGTGCTCGACCATATGGGCAAAGTTCCCGGCAAACAGATGGTTCACTACTCTCTCACATATTACATGGAAAACTGCATAATTTGAATAGCACCCCTCTGCCACAAGAGTTCTAACACAGGGCTGTAGTCCTACTCCATCATTGCTGCAAATCCATGCTGCAATTCAAGAAGAAAACGTTTTTGGCTACAAGTCCTTCGAAGTCTTGCCGAGAAGGGCTGAAATATGGAGGTCTCCAGCCCAGAAGCGATTCGTATAACCTGGTCATGATGGTCAACAGTCCAGCAACCAAAATCCAATTATAGCTAAAGTCAACCAGTGCGTATGCTACTCACTGATGCGTTAATTTTCCAACACGGGATGGCGGTACTCGCCTTCAAGTTGATTAAAGAAAATTTAAGGATTCGGATCTGCATCATCTGAACGTTTCTGACAAAATCCACGAGAAGTGAGGAAGAAAAATAATTAAGAAACAACGGCGGCGCGGCAGGTTTTGAGTTCGCAAAGGCAAAAACAACATGCGTCCGCAAAGATATCACGGCATGAGTTTGAAACGGCAATTTGGGTAGAAACGAATCCGTTCCCTCTCTCTCTATCCCCGTCTGACAACATGGCTGACCCCTATAGTTATGACACCCGGCCTGACACCACGGACGTTTGGACCTTTCTTTGCTTTTTCCAGCTTGGCGCCTGTTTCCTTTGCCGAGGCGTGTTTTTTTCCGCTCGTTCAATACTCAAAAGTGACATCAACATACTTGCCCCAAAAATTAAAAGCTATCATTGGACAAAGCAAGACAGCCATTTGCCAACTGCCAACCAATAATGAAGTCATTTTTAGGCAATCAAGGGTGAATTGCATCCCATTATTGTTTTATTTATTTTCCCCTTCAAACAACAGGCTCTGGGTACTGGGTCTGTTATACTCTGGGGAGCGACGCCCTGCTTCCTTTTGCACTCTCAAGTCAAAAGGTGATACACAAATATTGGACAACAACCTTTCAATCACCAAAAAAAATTGTAATAGCAGACCAAACTCACCCTCAGCAGTTTAATACCGCCCTGAGTTTTCACGGAAAACCAAACTCAGCCCGAGAAAAGAAATTGGGTTTGATTAGCAGAAACGTTTCGTTTGTTTCCTATTTATTGCAAAATTACTGTCATCAATTCGTGATATATTATTTACTTATATATTTTTGCTGGAGCATCATTAGGCTGAGGTAGACTTTTGCCCCTGTGGTCCCTTTCTATCCAGTGGGGTTGACAGATAAGCAGAAATGTTAAAGCACCAGCACATCTGGAGAATTCAAATGAGCCTCTCCCAAAAGTAAGGGGTCTCGGGACAGGGCGTGCCKGGGGGGGCGGAATTAGGTTTTTTTTTTTTTTTTTGTTCAGGAATGGGCCTAGTGCCACCCCATGGCATGGGACTTTTATTTTTTGTTTATTTACTGGTCCTTAAGATGCCCTGTCCCAGGCCTCCAAGACCTTAGGAGAGGCTCAATCGGATTCTCAGCATGGCTGGGGCCATGTTTCGGTGGTTTCAGGTGGTCTGTCGCAGGGCCACACGACGCCCAAGGACCACCTTGAGGACCTTGGTCAGGACCCAGATGAGGGAACGACATTGTGCAGCACAAGGCACACACACACACACACACACACACACACACACGCACACGCACACACGCACACACACACACACACACACACACACACACAGAGAGAGAGAGAGAGAGAGAGAGAGAGAGAGAGAGAGAGAGAGAGAGAGAGAGAGTCTCAGAGAGAGTCTCAGAGAATTCACTGCCTTACATTCTATATGTACCACCCAGATACATTCAAAATGCAGGAGCAATCCGAATGTATCTTGAGGAGGATACGGTCAATATACATTAGAGGGTCATCCGAAGATGTAGAGTGGGGGTAATACTGGGG